GCCTACAGGGGTGGCCTGTGCCTCCCGTGGCCGATTGTTGGTAGCTGACAATGGAGATAACTCTGTCAAAATCTTTAAATACCAAATGTAGCCTTTAAGATAGTCTGGAGGGCATAGGGCGGGAGGAGAGGGAGATTCTCTGCTCCAGACAGTAAGGTGAGTACCAGTACTTCAAAAAGCAAGGGACAGGACTCCTGTGTTCTTGTCCTGACTATCCATGCTAGAATGCTCTGCGTCTGGGCCTCACTTTTCCCATCTGAACTGTGAGAAGACTTATTCCAGTTTGCAAAATGTTCTTTCCAAATGGAGTGAGAGGGACACATCACGGAACATCAAACAGCTGTTTGTTGACATGCATCATGTTTCTGGGACTCTCGGCCCTGACTCACAGAAGTAGGGAGCTGAATGGGGTTCACATAGCTCCAGGTAGAGATTCTGGGTCCGAATCCAGCATCAACCAATCAACCAACAAGTCTTTCCACAGTCTCTTATGTGCCCCCTCATGTGCCGTGCTATGTAAAGGGTTGTGGTATTGGGGGTGGGGGAATATAAAACTGGGGGCAGAGAAAGAAGGCAGCAGAGATTCGGTCCCTTCCCTGAAGGACTTCATAGTCTCTGAGGAAGTCGACAACTATGGATATCCATTTTATATGGATATCCATTTTCTTTTTGGTAGACAGTATTTATTTATCATGGGGCAGCTAAGTGGCGAAGTACATAGGAGTGCCAAGCCTGGAGGCAGGAAGACTCATGTTCTTGAGTTCAAATCTGACCTCAAACAATTACTAGCTGTGTGACCCTGAGCAAGTCACTTAACCCTGGCCTCAGTTTCCTCACCTATAAAATGAGCTGGAGAAGGAAATGGCAAACCATTCCAGTATCTTTGCCAAGAAAACCCCAAATAGGGTCACAGAGAATCAACTCCACTGAAAACAACAAAACAACAATTTACTTATCATTTATCTGTTAGATATATAATAAGATCCTTGTCTTAACTGTGATAGATCTTTATCACTGTATCCAAACATGATCATGGGATTTAGAATTGCATGGGACTTCAAAAATCCAATGAAATCTCATTTTACAGAGGAGAAAGCTATCTATAGGACTTAATTTATGCCATAGAAAGTTGAATTTTTTTTCTTATTTCTTACGTGAAGTATTTTGAGGGGATGAAGTTGGCCCCTGGAGTTCAGGGTTTCTTAACCTCTCTTCTGTCAGGGGCCCCTTTGGCAATCTGTTGAATCCTATGGACCCTTTGTCAGAACGATGTTCTTAAATGCATAAAATAATACAGATAAGATTATGAAGGAAACCAATTATACTGAAATACAGTGTAATTTATGTCTTCATCAGGATATCATAAGTTCCAAGTTCACAGAAGCTATCTAGAGATACTCCCCCATCCCCTACCCCAGGTCCATGGACTCTCCCAGCTAAAAATTTCCTTTCCTGTAACAGAAAGAGGACTAGATATAGCGACAGGGGACTTGGATTTCAACTGGGGCTTGGCTACTTACTATGTGACTTCGGGAAAGTCACTTAACCTCTCTATGCCTCAGTTTCCTCATCTGTAAAATGAGAGGTTTGGGTTAGATGGCCTCTTGGGTCCCTTTCAACACTATGAACCTATGACCTCTGGACTTTAGTTTTCTTCATCTCTCAATTGTGAGTGTTGGAGTAGATAATCTCTAAGGTTCCCTCTAATTCTAAATCTTAACAGATTTCAAATTCACAAATTCACCCTCAATTACTGACTCTTCTGTGCCATATCCCCTCTCCATTCATTATGAGAAACATAAACATTAACTAAGAATACCAGGCAGTTCATAAGGGCCATACTGACAATTAGGGAAAGGGAAAGACCACTGTGGGTTGGGTTGGAATAGTCAGGGGCAGCTTCCTGGAGGAGGTAGAAACTGAACTGGCTTCTGATAAGATTTCTCTGGGGTGGGGGGTGTTTGTTGAGGGGGGGTGAATAGCGAGTTATTGTGGGACAGATGACTCCTGGGCCCTGGAAGGCTGGGGTGATTCAGGTAGAAAATCTTGAGAAGCAATAGCTGTGGTCAGGAGAGGGGAACATGTCTGGTGGACGTGTTTTTTCAGCTCATTCGTCCTTGGCTGCTGACCTACAGGAGCAAGCCCTAGATTAGTGTTTTGCCCTAGAGATATTTCTCAACTCCTTGAACATGTTACCAGCCTGACCTTGGAGGGTCAGGTTCAGGAGCAAGTCTCCCTCCACAAGTGTCAAGAAAGTAACTAGTCAAGTTAAAGGCTCTGCCAAAACTTATTGTGTGACCTTATGGAAATTATTTCCTTTCTATGAGCCTTAGTTTTCTCATCTGTAAAACTAGGGGGTTTAGACTCGATGACCTTTAAGGTCCTTTCTAGCTCTGAAATTTTATGTTCTGTATTCTGAGGTTTTCCAGTTCCCCTCACTCTGCCTGTCTGCCATATTAGACCTGAGTCTCCTATATCAACTCTTACCCATTGCCTGGGTCTACCTCCCTAGGAAAATTCTCCAGCTTTCTTATCAGCCCCCAGCTGGCTTGAGGGTAGGTGGGGCCCAATGGAAGACAGGAAGGGAGTTCTGATGGGATAATGACCTGGTTTTCAGCTCATTCAATTTGTCCAAGCTTCTAATGCTGCTGCTCCTCTGGTCCCAACCACAAGACTTACCATTGCTGGAGATTTCCTGGACCCAGCTGATATAAGGTGTGTCTGTGTATTTTTCACTGGGTGGCAGGAAGGAGAGGGAACTTTGGCTAAGAGCAATAGCACCAGGAAATGGAATCCATGTGGATTTAGAGCTCTCTTGTGTATCACAGTTCTCTGGGAGTGGAGGAGCCGTGGGGAGCACTCATGTCTGTAGCATTTGGACATTTACTAGCTGTGTGAAACTGGGCAAACCTTTCTGAGCCTCAGTTTCTTCATCTGTAAAATGTGGAGGCTGGACTTGGCTGACGTCTGACTTTCAGTTTGAATAGATCCATGATCCTATGCTCTTCTTATTCCATCTCTGCTCCCAGACCAAAATGAGTGGCCAAGTGGTTCGCCATCAGGCTAGGTCCACCCTCAGAGCACCTGGCCACTGTATGGAAACTCCAGAAGGTCTAGATCATGGTTGGGGTAGTAACCAATAATATTAATAACTCACATTTTCAAGGTGATTTACAATTTCCTAAGCACTTTCTATGAGGCAGGTGGTACAAATATTAGGAAGCCCATTTTACAGATGAGGAAACTAAGGGGGTAGAATTGGGATTCAAACACAGGTCTCTTGACTCCACATTCATGTCTGCACAGTACAGGGTCCCCTCTATTCTTCAGTCTCACTGTCAAGGTTAGACATGGAGCTCATTGCAAAGTCTTGGGCAGGGGAGGATTTGGATCTGAATTAAATGTTAAATAGTGAGATGTGTCATAAACCCTTTTGGGAGTACTCAATGTCCTTTAAATAAAGGGGGCATAAAAACGGTGTTTTGTTCTCCAGTGGTCACTTCTTTGGATCTTACAGAGGCTTAGAGCAGCTGTTGGGTTGGGCCTTCCTCCTGACAATCTTCGGGTAGCATTAGGTACTGATGTGGGGTGGGGTGATTATCAGCAGGGTCAGAGCACAGGGAGGATCTAGGGAGGATCCTCTTTCCCTCCCTCCTCCACCCTAGGGAAGTCTCCCCATGCCTTCTGTCCTGAAGTAACACGAAAGAGAACATGGAGCAGATGAAGTAGACAGAATTATAAACTAGAGCTTGAGTACTATGGTCTACTAAACATCCCAAAGAAAACAAAAGGTATATCCTATGAAATGACATATACTTCCCCTATAGAAGTGGTCATTTTCAGGATAAGAGAGAAATCCAAAGGATGGACTGAGCTGGGGAAATGGTGAATATTTTAGAAGGCTGACCTTAGCAGGAGTTCCTCCTCTTTCTCCTCTAAATGGGAATGGACAGAAGTTATGACTGACCTTTTAACTTAGCTCCAGACTGATGCCTAAATCCATCCACAGCTTAGGCTGACCCCAAAATTTATCCATAGCCTTGACCCTAACCACAGTAGACCTTGAACTTCATCCATAAATTAAGCCGTAACTCCAGCTACAGACCAACACCCTAAATCTGGCCTTGTGTCTGTGACCACTGACTAAATGAGCAAGGAGCTATGATCCTAGCAGAAAAGAAGGATACAGCATCATTATCCACACTTTCCTTCCTCCTCTTCCTTGTGGCCCTGGAAAATTATTTGCCAACTGGTGATTAGGAAGGCAAATGTGAGGCTTTAGGGGGCAGTCTGGGTTTTGGGGTCACTCTGGGATAGGATTTTGGGCAACTAAATGGCACAGACGATAGAGTGCCAGGCCTGGAGTCCGGAACATGGACTTTAAATCCAGCCTCAAACCATTACTAGTTGTGTGACCTTGGGCAAGTCACTTAACTTTGTTTGCCTCAGTTTCCTCATCTGTAGAGTAAGCTAGGAAAGGGCAAACCAGTATTTTTGCCTAGAAAACCCCAAATGGGGTCACAAAGAGGGGGACACAAAACAACTAAACAACTCGGGTAGGATTTAGGAGTCAGTCTGGGGTTGAGTTTTGGGGTCAGTCTGGGGCTGGATTTAGGAACGCGACCGGGGCCAGGGTGAAACTAAGAGACCTCTGTAGAGATTCCACCAAGCACCTGGGGTGGGGGTGGGGGGCTCCCCTGAGTGGGCCCCGGAGATGAAGGGTTGGGATGACTCTTTCAGGGTTCCTCTTGCCCCATCCCCTCCCTGATCCAAGGCTAAGCGGCCTTTCCCTTGAGGATGGGGACTGAACCCGAGGCGGAATGACAAGCGCCTTCTGGCCGGGCTCCGCAGCTCTGGCTCAGCCCACTCTCCCCAACGTGGCCGAGAGCGGAGCGGAGCGCCGAGCGCCGGCGGAACGTTAGAGCCGAGAGCCGCGCGCGCAGCCGAGAGTCTCTGGGGGAAGGACCCACCGCGTAGTCACTGCCCGGCAACGGGCGGAAATGGGGATCCTGTCGGGAGGCGCGGCAGTTACGGGGCAAGGGCAGCTCGGGGCCCCGCGGAGCCGCCGCCTGCAGCCCGAGGGCTCGGCCCCGGGAAGCCGGTGTGTACACCTCGCCGAGCCGGGCGGACTGGGGCGGGCAGGGGCGGAGGGGCAGCCCCGGGCCCTGGGCCGCACGCTCGAGGTGGGGACGATTCCAGGGCTAAGCGGGTTCCTGGGGAGGTCGCGCTGACGCAGTGGGGGCGGCTCGGGGCCGGCCGGGCTTCGGAGCCCGGACCCGGAGCAAGGGGCTTGGGGACTGGACGCCGTGACCGGGAGGGGTCGGGAAAGGCTTCCGGCCGTCCTACTCTGCCATCGATTGGCGCTGTGACCTTGGTGGCTGGACGGGAAGAATCTGGGACTGGGGAGCCTGGGTTCGAGTTCTGGCTCTGCCACTTACTAGCCGTGTCGTCTTGGACGAGTCCTTCCCCATTCCTGGAGCTCAGATTTCTGCCGTATAAAATGTAGAGTGTTGGACCAGATCAGGGGGTCCCAAAGTTTTTTGTTCCGCAACTCCTTTTCAACAATTAAAAAAAAAAGGGTTGTGATGATTTATTTATTTTAGATGGAGGTTTATTCATTAAGTGCTTACAATAATAACTTTTGTCCCCAAAAGAAAATATGTTTTGTATATATTTAATATAATAAATTCATTATATATACTATATAATTATATGTATACAGTTATAAGACATATTTTACACCGATGAGTATGAAAATTCTGAGTATTAAATTATAAAACTAGTTTTAAAATAGTTGCAAATATTTTATGTGGGATTTTCTGTAAAAATTAAAATAACCTAGAAAAACTTAATCCTTGCTTTTATTTACAATACTTAGTATTAAATTTGTTTTACAAATTGTTGAATATACATAACATTTTTAGTGAAATAAGTTACAACTTGGAATATGTCTAACATGATAATCATGTTGTTCAGTCATGCCCAACTCTTCATGACCCCATTTGGGGTTTTCTTGGCAAAGATACTGGAATGGTTTGCCTTTTCCTTCCCCAGCTCATTTTACAGATAGGAAACTGAGGCAGATAGGGTTAAGTGACTTGCCCAGGGTCACACAGCTACTAAGTGTCTGAAGTCAAATTTGAACTCAGATCTTCCTAATTTCAGGCAGGGCACTCTGTCCACTTAGACACCTAGTAATCATACATAAACTTAGTTTTGGTGGTGGACTGTTTTTATTTGAACAAAGGTTTACAATATTTGGCTCAAATAGCAAAGGGAGAGGATATATTTTAAGACAGCTGGGCAATTGTTTACTGTAACAATGACAGAATTTTTAACGTGAATCCCTTGGACTCTAGTTGCAATCCCCCAAGAGGTTTTGAAACTACTAAATGGGAACCCCTGTACTAGGTGATCATTAAGGTCCCTTCCAGCTCCAGCAATCTCAGAGTTATGGGAATTTCAGTCTTTCTGGCCCAACACATATACCTGACAGTGGCTTTTGCTTTAAAGACCTCCAAGACAAGTGTGCTTCTGGACTGCTGTAATTGTTAGGAAGTTTTTCCTTACTTTAACACTGTTTGCCTTTTCCATCAAAAATTTTTAGCTGCTAGCCATGGATTGCCTCCTTTCCCTTTCCTGGGCCTTAATTTCCTTGTCCAGTCAAACAATGGTAGCGTTGGAAGGGACTCTGGAGATCATCTGGACCAACTCATTTATTTTACATAGTAGGAAACAGAATCCCAAAGAGAACTTGCTTTGCCAAGATCACAAAGCAAGCCAGTGGCGTGAGCCTGGTCAAAAACCTAAGTTTCCTCTTTTGGAAAGTTCAGGGAAGTTTCCGCTAATGTCTCTCCGCTTTTGAGAAGATTATTTTAATTCTGGAGGATTCCTACATATAATCTGGAGCCATGATATTAGGTATACTCTAGAGCAGAGTAGTCAAACACACAGTTCCTAGACCATATTGGCCTGCAACACTCAGAACATGCAATTAGGAAGTATTTAGCAAAAGAAATAAAAATACATAGATGACGTTAATATGTCTTTTTCTAAGGTAATGTGCTGCCCGAAGGGTTGCTATTTGAGTTTGACACCACTGCTTTTGAGCAAGTTTCAGAATTTAGCAATAACAATAACAACAATAATAATAACTAACATTTATGTAGCACTTACTATGTGCCAGACACTGTGCTAAGGGCTTTATAATTAAGATTTATGGCCTCAGACCAAACACTTGACACTTACTAGCTGTGTGACCCTGGGCAAGTCACTTAACTCCAATTGCCTAAAACAAAATAATAATAATAATAATTAAGATTTATTCTGAGCTTAATTTAAAATAAAAGGTTTTGATGAGGGGCAGCTGGGTGGCACAGTGAATAGAGTACCAGCCCTGAAGTCAGGAGGACCTGAGTTCAAATTTGACCTCAGACCAAACACTTGACACGTATTAGCTGTGTGACCCTGGGCAAGTCACTTAACCCCAATTGCCAAAAAAAAAAAAAAAAGTTTTTGATGCCTTTTTTTTTACATTACCTTAATTTCCCCCAGTATCCTTCCATCTCCCCTGCCCAGAGAGCCCCTCTCTCTATTTTTTTAAGACAAAAGAAAAAGAAAATAAACCTGATCAATACATTGAAAAAGTCTGATAATATGTGCAGTGTACCTCCCATCTCTGCATGGGGTGGGGGTGGGGAGGTCTTCTCATATCTCTTATTTCCAGGCATGCTTATTCTTTGTAATTTTCCAACATTCACTTTTGATTTTTTTATTTGGTTGTTTACATTGTTGAAGTCCTTGTGTATGTTGTTTTCTTGACTCGGCTTGCTTTGCTCTGCATCATTTCATGTTCATTAGTTCATGAATCGTCCCATGCTTCTGTATACTCTCCGTTAATATTTTGTTACATTCACTTATCAGTTTGTTCAGGCTGCTATAATCAGTGGGCGTCTGCTTTGTTTCTGATTCTGTGCTATCACAAAAAATACTGCTTATAAATTTTTTAGTGTATATGGAGACTTTCTTATCAAAGGTCTCCTTGAGGTATAAGCCTAGTAATGGAATATCTGGGTCAAAGAGTATAGACATTTTAGTCACTTTATTTGCATAATTCCAAATTGATTTTCAAAGTAGTTATATTGATTCACAGTTGCTCTAACAATGCACTACTGGACCTATCTTCCCACAGCCCCTCTATAGCATTGAGTGTTCCCATCTTTTATTATCTTTGCCAGTTTTCGGGGCTAAGGTCAAATTTCAGGGTAGTTTCAATTTGGATTTCTCTTATTAGTAGTGATTTGTAGTATTCTTCCCCATGGTTGTTAATAGTTTGTAAGTCTTCTTGTTTGTTAATATTCATTGATCACTCTTCTACTGGGCAATGGATTTTGGTATATATG